ATATATAGACAGTTGCAAGCTGTCATGTGGGTGATGGAACCAAATCCAGGTCTTCTGGAAGAGCAACCAGTGCTCTCAACCACTGAGCCAGCTCTACAGCATGGCTTTTAAATTCTAAGCGCAACCCCAGTCATACTTCCTCCAGCAGGCCTTACCTTCTAAACCTACTCAAACAGCACCACTAACTGGGGATCAAATATCAAAACATCTGAGCCTCTGGGGCCATTCTCATTCAAACCACCACAGTGAAGCAGCTGTCTTTGAGTCATTTCTGTTCCTGTAAGTTACTTCACCAAGTTAGACTTCAGCAGGATTCTTACTTTGGCTGTCATTGGTTCTCTGCTTGGGGTGAGTAGACATTTGTTCGCTTTATTCTTAGGAATGGCACATGACACTATAATGTGATGCAAGTGGCCCTGCCCCAATCATTGCCAGGCAAGTTCAAGAAGACACAAATGAGCCATATACCTGAGTGACTGCTACCTGCACAAGGCCTGGCTCACTGACACCTCAAGGTGGTCCTGAATGGCAGCATTGAGGGAGTCCCAAGGACACAGCTCCTGCAGAACACCATGTCACCATCCTACATGAAGAGAAATACAAGAGAAAGGAGGCAAGGTCCTGGGCAGTGAAGGAGGAAGATACATCAGACATCACAGAGGCCTTCCTACCCCTGGCCTTGCTGTCCCGTTCTGAGCAGAACTCCAGTTTGAGTGGGAGTAGTTGGCCGCATCATGCCCCTGGGCATTGCAGCGGATTTAGGTACAGTTGTTCTATATGGTTCTGCATGAAGATCTGCCAGACAAGGTTTCTACATCCAAAGGAACACATGGGGGTTTGGGGCTGTGGCAGTCATTCTGCACCAACAGGCAGGCTGAAAGGTCACACACACAGAGTTAGTAAGGCTATCCCCAAGCCTCTCAGATACGCTCACTCTGAGACCCTTGTGAAAGAGATGAGCCAGGAAGGCCCATCACTTCAAGTGCGTAGATAGCATCCTCACTGGTACTGGAGCAGTCAGCAGAGGAGCCTAAGAGAGGGCTTGGTAAGGTGGAAGAAGGGTGAGTGGGTAAGCTGCCGCTTCCTGGGCCCTCACCCGTGTCCAGAGCAGTTCTGTGTTGTTGGATTTTCTTTTTCTCTAGCTCCATGTTGGAATGACAAAATGTTGTTGGGTTTTTTTTTTTTTGGCTCTTTTACTCTTTGGGGGGCCTGCCACCCAGCTCCCAAATAAATACACACTCAGAGGCTTATTCTTACTCATGAATGCCTGGCCATAGCTTGACTTGTTTCTTGCCAGCTTTTCTTAAATTATCCCACCTACCTTTTACCTCTGGCTTTTTCCTTTTGTTACTTCTGTATCTCTTAGCTTCACTCTTACTCCCTGGCTGGCTGGCCCCTGACATCCTCCTCTCCTCCTATCTTGCTACTCCTTCTTCCCAGATTTCTCCTATTTATACTCTCTGTCTGCCAGCCCCACCTAGCCTTCCTCCTGCCTCACTATTGGCTGTTCAGCTCTTTATTAGACCATCAGGTGTTCTAGACAGGTAAAGAATCGCAGCTTCATAGAGTTAAATGCAACATAAACAAAAGTAACACATCTTTACATCATTAAACAAATGTTCCAAAGCATAAACAAATGTAACACACCTTAAAATAATATTCCACAACAGTTCTGGACACCTCACACATAGTAATTTGCTTAAAGCCTAAGAACAAATCTTTAATTTTTTTTATTTTTAAACAATCTTATTTTGCATACCAATCCCAGTTCTCTCTTCCTCCTGTCCTCCCATCTCCCCATCCTGTCCTCAGAAAGGGTGAGACCGCCCATGGGGGAACATCAAAGTCTTTCACATCATTTGGGGCAGGATTGAGACCCTCCCTGCTTGTATCTGGGCTGAGAGAACATCCCTGCATAGGGAATAGGCTCCAAAAACCAGTTCATGCACTAGGGATAAATACAGGTTTGAGCAGCCCCATAGACTGTCCAAGCCCCCCCCCCAGCTGACACCCATGTTCAGGGGGCCTAGTTGGGTCTCATGTAATTCTGGAGTCCGTGAGCTCCCAGTTGCTCAAGTCAGCTGTGTCTGTGGGTTTCCCCAACATGGTCTTGACCCCTTTGCTTATCACTCCTCCCTCTCTACAAATGGACTCCAGGAGTTTAGCCCAGTGCTTAGTTGTGGATCTCTGCTTTTGTTTCCATCAGCTACTGGATGAAGGCTCTATGATGGCATTTAAGGTAGTCATCAATCTCACTATAGGGGAAGGGCATTTAAGGTAGTCTCTCCACTATTACTTAGATTCTTAGTTGGAGTCATCCTTGTGGATTCCTGGGAATTTCCCAAGTGCCAGGTTTCTCCATAAGCCTATAATGGCTCCCTCTATCAAGGTATCTCTTTCCTTGCTCTCCCTCTATGTCCTTTCCCCAACTCGACCTTCCTGATCCCCCATGTTCCTCTCCTGCTCCCCTTCTCTGCTCCTCTCTCTCTTACCTCCCTCTCCCCTCCGCCTACACTCCCAATTTACTTAGGAGATCTTGTCCCTTCCTCTTCTGGGGGGGGGGTTCCATGTATGTTTCTCTTAGGTTCCTCCTTGTTTCCTAGCTTCTTTGGGTTTGTAGACTGTAGGCTGGTAGTCCTTTGCTCTATGTCTAATATCCACTTATGAGTGAGTACATACCATGTTTGTCTTTCCATGTCTGGGTTACCTCACTCAGGATGGTTTCTTCTAGTTCCATTCATTTGCCTGCAAATTTCAAGATACCATTGTTTTTATCCGTTGAGTAGTGCTCCATTGTGTAAATGTACCTTTTTTTTTTTCAAGACAGGGTTTCTCTGTATTGCTTTGGAGCCTGTCCTGGAACTCGATCTGGAGACCAGGCTGGCCTTGAACTCATAGAGATCCACTTGCCTCTGCCTCTTGAGTGCCCTGGGATTAAAGGCATGTGCCACCAATGTGCACCATACCATATTTTCTTTATTCATTCTTTGGTTAAGAGGCATCTATGAGCCGGGCGTTGGTGGCTCACGCCTTTAATCCCAGCACTCAGGAGGCAGAGGCAGGTGGGTCTTTAGGAGTTGGTGCCCAGCCTGGTCTCCAGAGCGAGTGCCAGGATAGGCTCCAAAACTACACAGAGAAACCCTGTCTCGAAAAACCAAAAAAAAAAAAAAAAAAAGTCATCTATGTTGTTTCCAGGTTCTGACTATTACAAATAATGCTGCTATGAACATAGTTGAACAGATGTCCTTGGGTATATGCCCAAGAGTGGCAGTGCTGGGTCTTGAGGTAGATCAATTCCCAATTTTCTAAGAAACCACCATACTGCATTTTTTTTTTTGAGACTGTGTCTCACTATGTAGCTCAAAGATTGACCTGCCTTTGCCTCTTAAATGCTGGAATTAAAGGTACCACCCCACCAGGCCTTTATGTTGTTTTTGTTTTTAGACAGCTCTCACCAGACTGGCCTTCCCCTCATGCCATTCCTCTTGTCTCAGCCCCTGGAGCCCTGCGATTACAGACCTTCCTCCCCATTCTCAACATTTCTCCCCTTAAGAACGGCTCTTGGTAGTTGTTATGACATTGGACAGCCCAAGGGAAGGAGCCTTTGGAATATCACACAGCCAGGGAGAGCTTAGTAAAGCTGAGGCAGTCTATTGCTCTGTCCGGTGAGACACACAACTGATTTTCAAAGTTCAAAAGCAAAGTGTCTTAAGCAAAGGGCCGCAGGTCCAAAGCTTCGTAATTGAGAATGACATTAAGTTGAAACAAATACTGGTCACTGGTGGGAAGAATAGCGGACAGAGGTTATATTGCAGGCAGAGCAGAACTGACATGGGTGAAGAGTAGGGGAGGAGCATGTGAAACAGCTCTGAGGCAGTGTGGTGTGAGGGGAATATTGATGTCTGAGGGAGTCGGGACAAGGGTATCAGGGGTCTTCTGAGACAGGGGCTAACAAGAGGACCGCCATTAGACAGGATTAGAAAAACCTTCTCGACCCTAGAAAGAACTCATAGAATTGATTGCCCTCCCGGCGTTCTGAGACAAGCAACAGATGAATCTCTGTGAGTTGGAGGCCAGCCTCAACCTCCCACCCTGGAGATGGTATTTTGCTACTGGAGAGTCAGGCCTGGGCTCCAAAGAGAGCAAGATCTGTGAAGTGGGATCACCTGACTGCCAACGGTACTGGGCTGACTCGAAGTTGGGGAGGAAGAAATTTGGATTCCAGGAATCGGCTCCACTCTCATGAGGAAAGCCAGGAGCAGAGGGGTGGCGGGGTCCCTGTGCGCTCAGAGGTCTCCAGGGCCCTTGCATCCCTCCCAGCAGGCGACTGCACCATTGGGGACAGTGTGGGCTCCTGACTACTTCCTTTCCCTTCAGCTTTGGACGAGGCAGAGCACAAGGCTCCCTCCTGGCAGCGTGGCTCCCTGCACCCAGACAGAGTGGCACTCCCTCCTCTGCAGCCAGGGATTAGCTCTCTGAGGACTGGCGACGGGATTAGCACGCGCGAAAGCGGCGCCC